TTTCTTTACAAATAGACTTCTGTTTCTGTCATCCAGCACAGGGGTTATGATTGGCTACAGAATTATTAAATTAAAAAGGAAATGATGCCAGGAAGTGGGCAGAAGGGAAACATTCAATTTTCTTGAATGGAAATGTCACATGAACAACAAGAAGGCATTCCTCATTCCATCATGCTTTCCGGATCACCAGTTGATACACTTGGTTGGAAAAGCCTTTCATAATGTTTGTGTCAGCGTTCCAGTATAACGAGAATGAGCCTTTTGCCTATCAGGTTTGTGAAAATGTAACAGGTCATTTGTTTTCTCTCTCACACAATTCCCAGTATTTCAGAACTCCTGTTTTTATTTTTCAAATCTATCCAGAATACAATCTTTATTACCTTCACTATTCTCATCATGGCTGAAACCTTCTCCATCTTTGTCCTGGATTGTTGCAACTGTTCCCCAGTGGTCTTTCTGCTTTTACCTGCTTTTGAGCTTCCACCCCTCCTCTGCCACTATCTAATCTCAAAACAGTAACCAGAGTCGTCTTATTAGCCTGTAAAAAGATTGAGACTCTTCTGCTCAAAACCCTCTAATGGTTTCCCATTTCACTGAGAATAAAGGTCAAAGTAATTGACAGGGGTTGTCAACAGTCCCTATGCTTTATGTACATACTCATTTAACCGCCTTACCCCTACCATTCACTCAGCTGCTCACTTTATTCCAATCATTCTGGCCTCTTGGCTGTTCAGCAGTCACATGGGTCTTGCTACCATCATAGGAAAGCTTCCTGATCAGAAGAGCTTGGAATATTCTCCTCTCAAATATCTGCTTGGCTTGCTGCTTCACCTTATTCAGGTTATCCAAATGTCAACCTTATCACAAGAATTTTCTCGACCTTCCTGTTTAAAATTGCAATCTTTTCAATGCCTGCTATTCCTTTTCATCTTCTGTGCTCTATATTTTTCTCTACAAAATTTGTCATCTCTTCATATTATATGTAATTATTCATTATTTTTAATTTTTTTCTATGAAATTTGTCATCTTTAAATATTATATGTAAATATTAATTATTGTCATTTTCCATTTGCATTTTCTGCCATCGAAAAGAATGCCATCAACATGAAGTCAGAAGTTTTCATCTATTTTACTCACTGCTATAGCTTAGTAACTAGAATAAGGCATAGGACAAAATAAGTGTTCAATGCATATTTGTTGGATCTTTAGCAAATAAATAAACCATACAGGTTAACCCTGTGAATTTTACAAGTCCCTCTGTTTCCTACTATCTTTGGTACAAACCACCTAACTCTTGCCTTTGTAACACCTTGTTAAAGCAGCTGGAATAGCTACATTCAGTAATAATTTGGCTGTTTCCAACCCCTTTTCCTTAAAGCTAAAAGCTAAGTAGGCATACAGTATACCTTCCAAATATCAGAGTAACAGTGTGATGTTAACTGCTCAGCCAAATATCCAGCTACCTTGGAGGAAAAGCAGCCAGCGGTCAACTAGAATACCTGATCTGATATTATGTATATAAATGGCGGTTGCATTGCATATTCCCTTATTGCTTCAAAATTGCTGCATTTTAAAATTATTTGTAATCTCATTGAGGGTAGTGGTTGAGTATGAGAACTGTCATAGGTCTATAACACAGTCTAACACTGTTAAGTCATTTCTTGAATACTTATTAATGTTATGCACAAATGCCTCTAAAGAAACACACATTATTTTTTATAGCTGAGATATTTTCTGAATTTTCCAACCCATTTTCATCATTTTATTGATTCGTATAGGATAAGACAGTGTAATTATATTATAGTTTGTTGAATGTGGATGGAGCAGGAAGAATATTTAGAACACTTTTGCAATATTTACTTACTGACTCACTCCATTTATGTAAGCAAACCACCATGTGCCAAGCACTCTCTGGGTTATACTGGGTTGTGTGTGTATGTGTGTGTGTGTGTGCCTGCACTCACGTATGTGTTCAAATGACCACTAAGTAAAATACATAACTATTTATATACTTGATCATTCAGAAGATAATCAAAATGCTACTGTTAATTATCCAGAGAAACCTTGTAGAGTATGGACTTATTCAGACCAAGTGTCATAGACAATTGTTCACAGATTCTGATTAGCACTCAGTAAATATGAATCTTGATCTGATTATTTTACATTGTTTATGCTGGACAGTGATCCAATTTTTTGGTGAGGACTTAAATGGATAGTCTTAGGAAGTACCGTCCATTTCAGGAACAGTCGCAGGGGTAGGGATAGAACATCAATCAAAATATTCAAGACAGAGCCAGAAGTTTGAAGAAAAGGATGGGTGGGAAAGGAGAAGATGTTATCTAAACCCTTTCTTCTCTGGTGACTAATACTTTCTACCAAACAATATAAATTTGTTATTTATTAAGAACTATGCAGCATGGCCAGGTGCGGTGGCTTGTGCCTGTAATCCCAGCACTTTTGGAGGCTGACACAAGCAGATCACCTGAGGTCAGGAGTTTGAGACCAGCCTGGTCAACATGGTAAAACCCCGTCTATGCTAAAAATATGAAAATTAGCAGGATGTGGTGGCACGTGCCTGCAATCCTAGCTACATGGAAGACTGAGTCAGGAGAATTGCTTGAATCTGGGAGGTGGAGGTTGCAGTGAGCTGAGATTGTGCCCTGCAAGACTCGGTCTCCAAAAACAAACAAACAGGCCGGGCGCGGTGGCTCAAGCCTGTAATTCCAGCACTTTGGGAGGCCGAGGCGGGTGGATCATGAGGTCAAGAGATCGAGACCATCCTGGTCAACATGGTGAAACCCCGCCTCTACTAAAAATACCAAAAAAAATTAGCTGGGCAAGGTGGCGCATGCCTGTAATCCCAGCTACTCAGGAGGCTGAGGCAGGAGAATTGCCTGAACCCAGGAGGCGGAGGTTGCAGTGAGCCAAGATTGCGCCATTGCACTCCAGCCTGGGTAACAAGAGCAAAACTCCGTCTCAAAAACAAACAAAACTATGCAGTATCAATCAAAGAATGTATGACATAGCATTGTATAACTCTACCACCATGCATTTAATCAAGGCAACCTCTTGCCTTAAGCCACTAAGCCAGTTCAAATAACCGTAACCTATGATATTTTGAAGGAAGACACTAGTTTTAGACTTATCTACATAGTATTGATCTGAGAGAAATTATAAATTAGAGCTTGGTACTCTGATTGTGACTCTGAAAGACATATCAATAGCTACTATAGAAACAATCAATATCTACCTTATTTGCAAATATTTGTCCACTACCTCAACTTCAAAATTAGTATAATTTTTTTGTCCTTGATGATGAAAGTGAGCTCATGACAGTGACTGGAAACTTGAAGTTTAAAGAATTTTGGCATCAATCCGAAGCAATTTTGATCTGTTATATCAAGATGTATTGGGCATCAGTGGGAAGTCAGTATTTAGATATCAGGGTCATAAAGAAAAGTTGTCAAGTCAAAGTGTTTGAAATCATTCCAAGCAGGGCTGAGACTATTGAGTACTCATTTTTTAACCATAGTTTGCTTTTGAAGAGCCTGTGAAGTTAAGAGTTCTAAAGACACATTATTTTTCAGAATAGATCACCATTTTCTATTAGAATCCTCAACCAAGTCTAAAGTGATACAAAATTCAAATTAAATACTAGTGTTGAAATTCCATTAATATATTATAATAAATATTTATGAAATCTGGTCACATATATAGAAATATGATAAATTAAGAATTATACATGATTGGATATTCCAGATAAAGAAAAAGTACCCATCTGAGAATGAAAACCTATCTGAAATTGCCACTATTTCAGATAGAAATAGGTCTAAATATATTATTCATAATCATGTTTTCTCCTATGGAGTGTGCTTAATTTTATTTGGCAATAGCTTTATAACTCAGGTGGATTATGCTACTTATCCACTAATGCCCCAAATCTTTCAAGGACTAGTCAGGAAACGGAACTTGCACCTATCGTTGTAACGATAATAATTTCACATACAGGATGGTTAACACTGAATCAAGTTGCTAACTAAGTAACTAAAGAAGGGAAATTAGAACTCTAAAGTATCATGGAGATAACCACTTCAAGAAAGAGCTACCACCCCTAGGACTGAGCGAACACAGGGAATAAGGTAGAATTATTAAAACTTACACCCTTATAGAGGGAGGCCTTCAAAACTGAACCTCAGCACTCTGAGAAAAGGGCATTTCTCTGCTGGTATGGGTGTTTCTCTGCTTGGACAGAGGCCCTTGCAGATCTGGGACCACAGACAGCTGAGAAAGTCTGAGGGATGATACATAACCCCTTAGCTGAAGCTATTAGTATATTTGATGGTAGCTAAATTTACTTCTTTGTATCATATTTGCAAACCTAACAGAATGTAATGAACATCCAAATATATATGGGCGATAGTAATTCCAATACTTTAAACAGAATGAATTTGTCTACCTTGAATTAAAATCAAAACATAAAACTTCTACATTCACGTGATATGTATAGGACTTTACATAAAATATAGTGTGCTATTCCCTACAATTTGTGAATTAACAAGAAACATTTAATCAAGAATATCATGACATAACAAATTAAACATAATGCAAGTAATTGTTTATGTTATATTTATGTTCATTAACCTATTAAATTCAACATTACAGAGTGATAACAAGTCCATGGACAGCAGAACTAAAAATCCAACTCTTTAAAATGACTATATGTTTCTGTCCTGCTTAAAATAAACAGCTTTTCGATGAAGGAATTCTAATCTTATTACACAGGCTTGATCTTGATACTTACATTTAGAAAGAAATTATTATATCAACAAAGATTAATGGAGTTTTAAATGGATTTCACAAAGAGTATGTAAGTCGCTCTCTATAATCTTACCAACTAACAGTTTCTTTTAATGTTTCCCAGGGGTTACTTTGAGGAAAAAATATTTACCCATGTATATGTATCAACATAGAGGATTAGTAATGTTTAAAGTACTTCTTACCTATTAGCATCCCAGATTTTACTAGTTTTATCCAACGAGGAGGAAGCCACAAAATCGCCACAGGAGTGCCATGTGCAGGACCATACTGCATGGCCATGTCCTTCGAACGTCAAAATGCAGTTGCCTTTACATAGATCCCATAGTTTAACTGTAGTGTCACCACTTGATGTAGCCAATTTGTTGCCACTATTTGCAAAAACATAAAAAGATAACTTGTTTTAAAAGGAACATAATTAAGTTTTATGAATACTGCATTCTATGAGTAATTTGTGTGTATGTGTATGTATCTGAATTATTTTTACTTGTAGTGCCATATCTAAATGACTAAATATTATTATCTTATTTGGGTCTACATGACTGCTAACTTGAATTGCTTAGTAATTGGAAGGGAGAAACTGCTGTTGTGCAGTTTCTAGATTAATTCTTGTAGATTAATCCACTAAATTAGTGTTTTTGTTAGCATGTGTTTAGTTTAGCATTGTATCTATTAGGTTCTGTGGATAATCCGGCCTCAGAGCAACAAAAAGTTAGATGTGGGCTAAATCAATTTCAAAAACACAATACAGTGTGCAACAGTCAGCATTGCTTATGTTTAGATTAATTAACTGCTTCAAGGGTACAGTTTGGATGAAGGAAGAAGTGAGTCTGGAATGAGATATCTTTGATCATGAGAGGTAAAAAAAATTTTTAAGTTCTGGGTGGTTGAGCATAACCCATTCAATTTTGCATTTAGGTAATTAGTAGATCTTAAAGCAGTGGCTTTCAAGTGGTGAACACAAAAGCTAGTTTAGGAAATGGGTAGGTGTCAGGCTCAGGCACAGTGGCTCTTGCCTATAATCCCAGCAGTTTGGGGGGCTGAGGTGGGCAGATCACAAGGTCAGGAGTTTGAGACCACCCTGGCCAACATGGTGAAACCCCATCTCTACTAAAAATACAAAAATTAGCTGGGAATGGTGGCAGGTGGTGCCTGTAATCCCAGTTACCCGGGAGGCTGAGGAGGCAGGAGAATTGCTTGAACCTGGGAGGCGGAGGTTGCAGTGAGCTGAGAGTGCCACTGCAATCTTGGCTTCCTGGGTTCTGAGTAAGACTCAGTCAGGAAAGGGAAGGGGAAGGAGAGGAGGAACAAAGGAAAGAAAAAAAGACATCCTTCTGCAATGCGTGCTTCTTAAATGTGTTCCCTTAGGTACTTTCTGCTACCAAATTATAATTAAACCACTTATTTATCCCCCTCCCTGTCAGACTGTTTTATGATGGAAAACTGTGTTTCATCTCTGTTTCTATAGCATCAAGCCTTATAACTGACCAATTAAAGTGCTTAATAAATGCTTTAGAGTAAGTAAATATATAAATGCATGCATGAATGAAGAAGAAAAAGTTCCTGGCATCTTTAACAGAGGGAATACTAAGATCAAAAAAATATTTTGTTTTCTTGCTCATAGGTTTGAGTATTTTTCATCAAGAGGGAAAAGCAATTTTTAGATGCAGTGGATAAACGGCCACCATTAGAGAGGAAGAACTTGAAGTTTCTTGAGAGAAGGTAGATTATATAGTAGAATAATCTCATTTAAGTTAGAAAAGAATATCCAATTTATTTTTCAAATTGACTAGCTGAAAAAAATCACCAAATGGCAGCTAGTCCCTTCATCAATAGATAGACAGCAAAAACTGCTTTGGCTACAACTGCTTGGATGCACATTTGTCAATCACCACTTTAGTTTTTAATATTAAAGATTGATACACTTATCTAAAAACATACCAATAAAATGTGTAAAATTATTTAAGCATGTCTCTTTCTCAGATCTATCTTTCCAATGCGTGTAATGCTTTATGGACCAAAATTCTTAGCACAGAATAAAAATTATTGTGGTATGTTTCTGCCTGTGGCTGAAAAACTCTCTCATATAAGTTTTATATGCTTCTCTCATGCTTTAAACTATGTGCCAGGAAAAAAAATCTCACTGGAATAATTACAACTAGAATGAAATATTAATTTTTGGTGAGTTCCTTTAAATTCTTTGAGTGCCTGTAACTGATCCTTAATCAACAATAAACAATATTCCCATAAGTTTTTAATATATTGAGGCTAGAGCTCATATACTAAATCCAAAATATATCACATAAAAATTTCTGAATATTCTTTGGAAATGATTTTGCCTTTCAAAGAACAGGGCTTGAAATATGGAAAACTGTATACCTTTGGTTCATGAAAAAATAAAGGCTATTTCTGAGGTCTAAGAGAGAGAAAAAGAATGGTACACTGAAATCCAAAAGGTGAGCTTTAAGAGATGCAAAAGATCAGTTTCCCTAGGTGCTACACAAATAGAAGGAACCAAAACTCTAGAAAAGAGCAAAACTGAATGTCACAGGCTGACTGTGCCACCTCTTCTCCAGATCCCTATGTCGATATCCTAATTCCAACGTGGAAGTATTTGGAAGTAGGGCCTCTGGGAAATAACTAGCTTTCGATGGGGTCATGAGCATGGGAACTAATGGGATTCGTGTCTTTATAGTAAGAGGAAGAAACTGGAAGTAACTCTCTCCCTGCATTGTGAGGACACAGTAAAAAGGCAGCCATTTACAAGCCAAGAAATGGGACCCTCACCAGAACGTGATCAGCCTGGCACTCTGATCTTAGACTTCTAGCCTGCAGGATGGTGAGAAATTAATTTCTGTTATCTGAGTACCCAGTCTATGTTATTTTGTTATGGCACCCTGAGCTGACTAATAATGTGGATCCAGGCTGTTGGTATACAGCCCAAGTTATTTGAAATTAGCTACTCAGCATCCTGCAAATAACATTCAACCAAGTATGAGTTTACAAAAATATTCTCAATCACATAATAGGAAAGAAGAAGCCATAAGCGAGGTTGAGCTATTAAAATTAACAAATACATATACCCTGAAGGACACCAGTTGTTATAATTAAAGGGTATAAAATATAACTACAAGTATATAAGGAAATAACAGATGTAATAAAAAGATCAAACCACATATGTTTATAACATGAATCACAAATCTAAGAAAAAACCATTTGGAAATTTTAAAAATCAAATTATTGAAATTAAGAAATCAATTGATGGGTTAAATAGCAAATGAGAAACAGTAAAATTCAGAATAAATTAACTGAAAATAAATCCAGAAAAAAATGAAAAAACAAACATTACATGTTCTTTTTATTTATTTATTTTTTTTGACAGAGTTTCACTCTTGTTACCCAGGCTGGAATGCAACAATCCCACTCACCACAACCTTCACCTCCTGGGTTCCAGCAATTCTCCTGCCTCAGCCTCCCAAGTAGCTGGGACTACAGGCGTGTGCCACCATGCCCAGCTAATTTTTGTATTTTTAATAGAGACGGGGTTTCACCATGTTGACCAAGATGGTAACTCATAGGTGGGAGTTAAGCTATGAGGCTGCAAAGGCGTAAGAATGATACAATGGACTTTGGAGACTTGGAGAAAAGGGTGGAAGTGGGGTGAAGGGCATAACACTAGAAATTGGGTATAGTGTATACTGCTTGGATGATGGGTGCACCAAAATTTCAGAAATCACCACTAAAGACCTTATTCATGTTACCAAACACCACCTGGTCCCCAAAAACCTATGGAAATAAAAATAAAGTACATATTTGAAAAAAAAATCTCAACTAGAGACAGAAGAGGTACTGAACATAGTATAGATGTTTAAAAATATAAAGGATACAATAAAAAAGTATCTTTTCCTAACCAAAACTCCAGAGGAGAATAGATACAAAGAGCTAGATGCAACATTGAAAGAATTAAGGGTTAAGAATGTACAGAAACTAGAAAATTTAAGACCCAGAACCACCTATTTGGACAGAAAAATGTATACCAAATAGAATAAACAGTGATATAAATAAAAGTAAAGTTTTACTTAGATGCATTTTAGTGAATTGCTGAGCATCACTGGCAACAATAAGAATTATAAGAAAAAAAAAGAAGAGGGGAAAAAAGAAAAATAAAATTATTTATTTACATAGTGATAACACGAATAAGAACATTATATATATTTGATCCTCCTTATCACCCATAAGATGACTACATTATCCCTAAAACACTTGAGCAACATCACAGAGCAAATAAGTCACAGGGGTGAACTTTCTTCAAAGAGCTAAGAAAAAATAATGATAATCTGGAATTATCAAAAATCTCTCTCAAAACAAGAAAAAGGCTGGGCATAGTGGCCCAGGTCTGTAATTCCAGCACCTTGAGAGGCCAAGGCAGGCAGATTACTTGAGGTCAGGAGTTTGAGACCAGCCTGGCCAAGATGTTGAAACCCCGTCTCTATTAAAAATACAAAAATTAGCTTAGCATGGTGGCACATGCCTGTAATCTCAGCTACTCAGGAGGCTGAGGCAAAAGAATTGCTTGAATCTTTGAGGCGGAGGTTGCAGTGAGCTGAGATCACACCATTGCACTCTCCAGCCTGGGTGAAAGAGTGAGACTCTGTCTTAAAAAAAAAAAAAAAGAAGAGAAGGTAAAACCTTGATGAATTTTAGACTTTACTAAATTAAGTCAGCATGGTAAAATGTTAAGGGTGATCACTATAAGAATAGTAATAGAGCATATAACTTCCAAATCAGCATAAGAATTAAAAGAAATGGGTAAGAAGAACTTACACTCAGAAACATCTAATCTATCTGAAAAAATATGGGAAAGGAGGAAAAAGCACTAGAATAAATGATACAAATAGAAGATAAATTTTAAAAATAAGTTTTTAGATGGAAATACAAACACATGAACAAATCCAATAAACACAAATGGACTAAAGTAGAAACAAATAAAAGACACAGATTTTTTACTTTGGCTAAAAAGAAATTCAGGTATATGATTTTTACAGGGGGCACACTAAACTTCTAAGGAAATATAAAGGTTGAAAGTCAACAAACTAAAGGCAAAGCAAAGCAAAAATAAAAATTTTTTAAAAAGTTACTTGGGCAAAAGGAAATAGAATAATGATGAGGGATAGGGTCAAAATGGTGGACTAGAAGCAGCTTGTATGTGCTGCTCTCACAGAGAGGAACTAAAAGGCTAATGAACACTGATCCTGTAGGTCAATCATCTGAGAAACCGTGTTGGGATCCACCAAGACAGCAGGAGAATACAGAGAGCAGAGAGGAGCAAAGCTCATCACCTGTCTATCTGGGATTACAGTGGAGCTGGAAT